ATCAGCATATCTCCTCCTCCCCCAAATAAATTATCACTGACTTAAAAATGTGAGTACTGTACCCTAAATTAATTATTATGAATTCCTTCTGGTATTCTCATCCTGGTCTTAGAAGAGAGAGGACTTCCTGCTAACTCCTCTCCAGGTGATCATTCCTTTGAGACCCTGTGTCACTTCTCCAGGCTAAATAATTTCAGGTTTTTTCTCCTGGGTTCTGGTTTCCATTCCCTTAGTCTTCCAAGTCCTCTCTCTCTTACCTGGCTAGGAATTCCAAGGTGTCCTTATTGATGTGATGCCCAGTTTTAAGTACCATCATCCTCCCATCATCTTCCCTCACCTTGCAGACACCACCCTCTTCTGTTCAGTGTTCATTACACAGTGGTTCTCAACTTGTGGGTCGTGACCCACAGGAGCTGTATTAAAGGGCTGCAGCATTAGGAAGGTTGAGAACCTGGTTGGTCACCTGTTGGTTCTTCCCTACTGTGATGAGCCATCCAGGTATACAGTTGGTGTCTCCTTTGGCTACTTGTCTCTTACGTAGACATGTTTGCTTTGTTCCTGAGTGAAATAGTCTAGACCAAATGGACCAAGGGAGAATTTGATCTATTACTTTGTGACTGACTGACAGTTTAATTTTTCAGTGGGATATTACACATCTTCAAAGCTATTATTTCAATATTGTGGTACTTCAGATAGCCAGCACCATGTAGTAAGTTAAAAAGCAGCTATGGAGCTGGGATTGGGAGGTGGCGAGACCACAGCTCTTCTGCCAGTTATTAGCTGTAAGGAGGCCACTGGCCTCTCTCAGCCTCATGTGTGGAGTGAGAATATGGCATCTCTGTGAGAGAGTGGGGAGGATTGAGCGAGAGGGTGTGTATGAGTGCTCTGTGCTACTGGGATGTAGTACATTTGTCAAACATGGTATTTTTTTGTTGTGACTGTGCTTGTAAACCTCACAGATGGTTTCATCCAGTTTGAATATCTACGTTTAAATTCTTGGTGCAGAGATGTAAGAGATACATACTTATTGTGATAACTTTACATAAAATATATCACCACCTGCTCTGTGCAGGTACTGACTTTGAAAAACAGAACTTGGAAGGAAGGTGGGGCCAAAGGATAAATCCAGAAAGTGTCCATGCTGTAACCACTGGCATAGCATGTGGCCAGACTAAAGAGGAACAGAAAGTTGTAGGAAAGAAGTGTATGTTGATCTTAGTCAGTTCCTACCTGTCAAGTTGTCTGATCAAAACTGCTTTCTTTTTTTTAGGGGGGTGGGGGGACAGAGTCTCAAGCTGTCACTCTTGGCAGAGTGCCCTGGCATCACAGCTCCCAACAACCTCAAACTCTTGGGCTTAAGTGATTCTCTTGCTTCAGCCTCCC